CGCCCACAGGCCCGCCCCCGCAGGGGCTGCAGAGGAGCCCTCCTCCAGCAGCCGAACTGGTTCCCTCCCGTCACTCAGAAATTCATACAGGGATGCAAAAAGGATTAAAGCGGGTGCAGGAAAAGTGTGGGAGCAAGCGATCAGACGGATAAGATAGGATACTTCCTATTGCATCTATTGCTTACTCCACCAGGTTTAAGTAAAATGAAACGATGCTTCACCTGCAAATGTTTTTCATATGAGAAGGATGGCACTTATATCAGCGCTTTTTAATAATCAAAAAGGAAGGTCTGCCTGTTGATGTTGCGGTTTGTTGCCGAAGTGGCCTGAAAAACCTCAAACTCCTTGCTCCTCCTAACTCCTTCCTCCAGAACAGAAACGGAGTTTAAGCTACACAGTACAACTATGTGAAATGCTTAAATATTTTATTCACACACACTAAGTCTATGCTCTGGTCATCTTTTCCTGTTTTCTATTCATTCTCAAAGTTGTAAAAAAAAAAACCCCAAACAAACCAAAAGCATCCAAAGCTTTTTCACAGAAAAGTTGCGGGAAATCTGGCTGAAAGCTGAAGGTATAATTAAATTTAAAAGGGGTAAAAATAATAATAATAATAATAGCGAAATGTGAACTTTAAAATGATGGTGAACTCTCATTGTGTGAAATAACGCGGCTCCGTTTGAATGAGCCCCTGTTTAAGAGTGGAGATAGCGTTATTCTATTTCAGGCACTCTGAGTAGGCGAGCAAATTTTCCCTGTCGGGAAAAAAAAAAAAATCTAATGAAAATCCAAAGGACAGCAATGAACTTCTCTAGATTACCATGGAGATAACATTTGCTTTGTTTGTCATATGTGTCATCGTTACCTCCTCTAGTTCATTATTTCTATAAGCGATTTTTATTTGCATTTCTCTCAGACCCAGTAAGCCTGACAGACTTCTGCCCCGGGAGCACCGTGTTAATGCCACTTCCACTCACTCAGCCATCCCAGGACAACAGTTTTGAACGGACCTATATGGGAAGAATAAGACACCACAATTCACAAACACACCATTTATTCTCGTGTCACTTACTATAACTACTGTCCTCCTCTTTTGTTCCATCAATTGTTCCATCTGCTTGCAACTGCAAGTGGTATCCTTGCCTGCTGTATAGCTTTGTTACTATACCTTTAAGCTGAGGCTCTGTAAAAAAACAATAGTGAGATTAATGTGGGAAATCCTGATGTGCCATTCCAAGCGAGCAGGATGCTAACCCCAAATCTCCAGGTTCCTTCTGAAGGCTGAGATATGAAAAAGACCCAAAACAAAAGCAGGGCAACCAGCTTTGCAACACTTTTCATTTAGGCTGAGATCAAATTTATGTCTCTGAAATCAATTACCCAAATGATTAAATGCCACTTTCAATTGCAATGTAGGTAGCACAGGAAAATCTGCTTCCAGTGAATACAAATTCCGGCAGTGCGCTGCTTGGCCTCAGGAGCTCAGCCCTATCTCATTTAAGATTAGAAATGAGCTGGCAAAGAGCGTATTCCGCCTTTTAAAAAGGTGTGAGTTCTTAAATGGAGAGGAAAAAGAGGACTACTACGATAGCACTAGTAAGAGCCATAGTGACAGTTGAGAGCCTAAATATATAGCAGCAAACGTTTAGCACAGGAACTGCTGCAGCTCTAATAAACAAACCCCCATTCCTTGCTGCTCCAAAGAGTACAGAGCATCCGAAGTGATAAACTCCCCAATGAGCATATGGAAAATGGAGGGGGGAACCCTGAAATCCAGCAATGTGTGGAACTGCAAAATAAATATTACCATAAGGGTTGAGGTAATTACCTCATCAGCTAGAAGAAGAAAGATCAAAACAACGCATCGTTTGGATAGATTTCTTTTTTTCATAACCCTTCTCAGATTCACAGTTAGAAAGCAAGGTATCATCTCATACAGTTTCAGATCATTCTAGACCAAAAAGTAAACAGCAACAGGATGTGCTTTCAGGTCTGTCGTTCAAGATATCTAGGTAATGCACCAGGAGTAATTGCAAAAAAAGGTCTACTTCCACTGAATCCCAATGACATCTGCATTGTAGTCATTTCACACAATTATGCTTGTCAGGAGGTGATGCATCTCCGCAGCTTGCTCCGCAACAACTTACTTAATTCAGAGATAAACACACTGTGAGGATATGATGTGTCATTTCCAATAGCCGACGTCTGGGCAAGACTCCTTGTGTATGCAATCAAAGACATTAGGGAGCTCTGCTATTTTACTTCATTTTAGAAGGAGCCGAAGGCAAAATCTCACAACAGTTTGCAGAAGTATATTATTTCCTATTAGCAACCTTTGATAAGGGTACTGATGGATGCACAATTCTTACTGACCAACTTTTCTGACAAGAAATTAACCCAACCCCCACTTTGGCTTTTTAGCCGTAACGCATCCCAAAGCTGTTTGCAAATTGTGAGCGAGGCACCTCTTCTGTGGCTGCTGAGAAAGGCAGACAGGTTAAGTGGCGAAAGGCATCGATGTTTCAGCACAACAAAGCGATAGCAACATTACCAGGGGGTTTTGCTCCTCCCACATACAAAAAAAACCCCACTCGGATCAGGGACTGAGTCTTCATGCCTGATCTTTTGCACCTCTGGCACAGAGAGCATCGCGTCTGCAGGGCAGCTGCATGTATGAGATTCCTAGAAAGGAACAGGGCACTGAAGCAAAACTCTGGGAGGTGCCAGCAAAAGCAAAAAAGCCTCATCTGCAATCAGCAAATAAAGCACGGCACAGGCATTCTATGAGGCAAGGAGACAAAACCAGATCTCTGGACCGCCAAGTTATTTAACAAACAACTGAAGGAGGTGTAGGTGTGGGAACTTTCCCTGCAAACCTCTCCCCCACAAATTAATCACATGTGTTTGTATAGGTCTATGTGTAAGACAGGCTACCGAATTACTGGTACATGAGGGCACACGGGTGAGCAAGTGAGGCAGATAGCAATGGTGCGTGCTACCCAAATAAACCAGATGTATGTGGAAGGGGAAGGGACTGGCATGGGCCACCCATGTCTATCAGATCATACAAGCCAGGAAGGGCAATACCTGCACCAGCCCTGAGGCACCAGTCCCCCTTTCCCCACGCCTGGTGCACATCCCAGTTTGCATTAAATTAAACAAAGCAACCCCCCAAAGACATAAGCCTTGCCAACCTGGTCGCCGCCTTCGCCTTTTCTTGGAGCCAAAGAGTTTGACCCTGGAAAACACATTCAACTTGTTCTTGTCGCAGCTTCCCTTGCTCTTGCTGGGGCTGTTGACACACTTACAGGCATTGGACTTCTCCCGCTCCCTGGCTTGTCTCTTCTGGCGGATCAGGGAGCTGGCGATGCCCGTCCCCAAGGCTGGGGACGCTGCCGGGCGCCTTGGCCAACGCCACCCACCGCCAATTGGCTTGGGAGCCCAGGAGACACCGGTGGGACGCTCACACCACAGCCCCAGGTCAGGATGCAACAGTTTAGCTCAAGCGTTTTTGTCTGCTGAGATCTTCCCCTTTTGATTTTCTGATGCTTTTTTATTCCTCCCAACTTCTGGCAGAGGGAAAGTTTGCAGGCAGAGGTGAGCGTTTCTACGGAGATCGAGCAGATCACTTGCAAGGTATCCCTCCGAGCTTCTCCAGACGCGCTATTCACATGCAGACATGGCACATCCACTTAGTGCAAGATCACTGCATCTCTCCTGGCCCCAATTTCTCCAGTTAAGGTTTCTCCCCACCCGTCCCCTCCCCATTCAAATCCCAGCAAACACCTGTTAGACTCCAGCAGGGGCTGTCCAGTTGCAGGGCTTTTCTGGATCCTTTTTCCTCTTCTCCCTTAAGAAGAGATCCGAAGCAAGTGGTGATGGAGACTCTGGGAGGAGGTGCCGATGCCTGGAGCCTCGGCTGCCTGCTGCCGAATGCCTCGGGAAGCCTCTTCCCCTCCGCTCCTTACAGGTGCCGCTGCCAGCGCAGCCTCCCCTCCACGGACGCGTTCAGCTTTTGCATTGCAACACTTGTCACCAGACGGTAAATAGCCAGAGCTCCCCTGACACCCAGTCGCCAGCAGCTCAGCGCCGAGACTGCAGCAGCAGCAGTCCTCAGGCAGCGGATGCACGCACTCGCACACACCCCACGAGCTGTGTGCTGGAGACAGAAATGAGGCGACGCAGCAAGCCCCTTATCACCACCCTTCCCTCCTCCTTCTTCTCTTCCTCCTCCTCCTCCTCCTCCTCCTCTCCCAGGCAAGGCAGCGAGCGGGAGACCTGCCCGGTGGTTCTTTGTGTTGAGAGTTGCGGCGGGGCCCCCGGGGTGCAGGCAGGGAGGAGGCAGGGGCGCGGGGTGGGCAGTGGGAGCTGGTGCAGCCCAGCTGCCCACCCTTGCCAGCCCCACGGGCTGTGGGTACCCGCTTTTGACTGAGCCACCTCCCGGGGAGGCGCAGACACCCAAACAAACGTGACTGCGATGAGCAAATAGCTGGCACCAGGGTTTCGGCAGCGGAGCGAGGCCACCTGGCCGGCAGCAGGAAGGTGGTGCGGGGAGGCAGGCAGGGGAGATCCAGCCACAGCTCTCCCCCCTTCTCTTCCTCCCCCCCTCCCCCCCCCCTTCTCTCAGCTCCAGTTTTCTAGGAGAGACTAGAAAATCCTCAGAGAGAGAATTTCCTTGTCACCGCCGTGTTCTCCCTCTTCCCTTTGTCCCCCCACAGTGCCTCTGTGTCCCTCGAGGCCAGGATCTCACACCAGCTGGGTTTATCTGCCCCTGGCAAAGTGGGGGCCAGGCTGCGGGGGTACCAGGGCAGGGAGAAGCAGCGGTGCCAGGATGCCGGGAGCAGAGCCTGGGGTCAGATCCTGGCACTGCAGGGTGGTTAATGCCCTGCACAGCGGACACCCAACCCTGCACACCTCCGTGCCCCAGGACATAGGAAGCAGGAGGTCCTGGGGGTCTCTTTGCAACCCACCCCCTGCTCTTCAGCACTCTTTCAAGAGCTGGAGCCTAAAATAAAGCCGAT